AACGCCATCCTCTCCAGGGGCTTTCCCATTTTTAAGCTGTCCAAGAGCGATCTCGATTTCGTCAATGCTGACTTCTGGCAGGTCTTCGGTGTAATGGCGTATTAAAGTGGCTCTAGAGTCCTCATTTCCGGGGTCAGGTCGAGATGCATGCGAAGCGTATAACCGGCCGTAGAAGTTTTCTACTTCCGAAAGAACTGCCGGCTTCGAGACAACGACTTCTCCACTTGCTGTGGTCAACTTCGTCAGGTGGCTTCTTCCAAGAGATTGTACGAACACTTTTGGCCCCCGGTTTTGCTCGATCGCTCTCTCGATTGCAAGGGTATTCGAGCACCGGAGATCGTGTCGCACGTGTTTGCTAATCTCTCGGTTTAGAGCCCGCTTCTCTGACGAAGTGACGGGTGGGTTTTCACGTCGTCTCTTCATAAGCCCTAAAGTCTCTTCCGAAAGCTTCGACTTCTTGCCCTTACGCTGCATTTCACAAAATCTCGTACCTTCTTCCCTGAGAACTCGAACCACGTTTTCAAGGTTCCGGTTAACGTCGGTTGTGGTTTCCAGGGCAGCAAATCGGTTCTCCAGGTTTAACTGAAACGCTTCAGATCCCATTTTGATTTGAAACAGGGTTGGTCGGAGCCTGGCCTTCATCATGCGGACTCGTTCGGCTCTGAAGTCGATATTCAGAGAGCCTCGGACGAGTCGGTGATCGCTACCGGTATTAAACCTATTAATCACGGAGACGTCTCTGAATATGTGCCTTTTGTCCGCCATGATGAAGTCGATCTCGTTCTTTGTCATAGTGTCGGGGCTTTGCCACGTCCACTTCCTTTGGGGCTGCTTCTTAAAGAATGAATTCATTAAGAACATCCCCTCCCGTTCGAGGAAATTGACGAGCATTTGCCCCCTATGATTCCTGTTTCCATACCCATGGGATCCTACTACCGATTCACTGCAATTTTGTACTCCCACTTTGGCGTTAAAGTCCCCCATAACAATGTTGAAGTGAGTCCTAGTGGTGGAGTGGAGGGCCCTCGATATATCATCGAACATCTCCTCCACCTCATCATCGGAGTGTGCCGAGGTCGGTGCGTACACTTGGACCACCTTAAGGCTATACCTCTCGGTGAGCTTTATAATGAGGTACGCCACCCTGTTCGACACACTCGACATTTCCACAACATTGTTAGATAGGGACTTGTTAACCAGAAACCCAACGCCACCTTGGGATTTTTGGTCTCCCTCACGGAAGTACATCAGGTGGCCTGATTTGAGAGTTATCGTGTCCTCCCCCTCTCTTCGGACTTCACATAACCCTAGTATGTGCCACCTGATCTTCCCAAGTTCCACCTCTAGTTGCGCTAGATGCGAGTCAAGCCGTAGCGTGCGTCCGTTGTACGTCGCCAGGGTCAGTCTGTTGTGGTGGCCTCCCGTAGCCCGGAGATTCTTAGCACCCCCTACCCCACCGTTACCATGGTCGCCACCATGACCAGGAATAGTGGGGCTGCCGGGAACTGGGGGCCGTGGCCTTCGTTTTTTTTGCCCATAGGAGGTATTGCCCATAATCGCCACGCTGGGCAGGCGGGTTGGCGATCGCAGGGCGAAACTTTTCGCACCGGTAACGCTGCTGCCCGTCACCGGCCTGCGGTACTTAATTTCGCCTGTTTGTAAGGGACGGATATACCGCCGTCGGTCGGTCGCCAGAGCCTCGTTCGTTGACCAGCAGGATGCACCGCGTGCAGGTGAGGTTGGCTTGGGGCGAAAGATGGAAGTTCGCCCCCTTACACCCCATCATAAAAGATTAAGTAAATATATAAATATAAGTATGAGAACATCCTAATAAGTAGGTAAACTGTTTGTGAAAAAACTCTACTAAAAGTAATTAGTTGGTGACTTACTTCTATTTGTAAAGATGTCTACAAATTAAGCTATACATAACCATTTTTACTTGGTCTCCTTTTCTATGAGCTCTCCACAAATTCACCGATCCACTTATACTGGATATGATATTTCCACGCGATATCTCAACCTTTGCAAGTTGTGATTACAAATGAAAATTTTAATTGAAGTTTATGTGCTAAGCTAAGCTGTTCCAATTTGTAAATGGAATGTGATATCTTTTTTCTTGCACAGTCATGGTACCATTTGTCAATTAATTCACCAACCCCCAAACGAACGAAAATAGGTTTGCGAACGCCGGCGTTCGCACACCTATTGTCTTACTATTGTGTCTCGAATTACCACGTTTGAGAGGTTAATTACTAAAGATCCAGTCAAATACATTACCTTTTTTGAATACTTCAGTTATGTATATATTTTCTATAAGAATGTAGTAACTCATATTCCTCTTGTCGAAAAGCATTTTTTGAAAAAAGTAGATATTTAATAGTGTATTGTAAAATCAAAGAATGAAAGTGTAAATAATTATCCATAGGTAATGGAGTAACATTCTACTAATAACTTACTTACTTTTTTTATATCAATGAACAATTCAAAGTAAATATTTGCTAAGAAAATACTGTCTGCCCAGTGAATTTATTCATTTTAATTAAGTTTAATTTAATGTGCTTTTCCTTAATCTGGATAGAGAATTTCACCGAAGATTTACACGAATACGAAGAAAGGTTGCTAGTACTAAAATAATACTTTATTATCAATTGTTTCTTTAACAATAAACAATAATCAATACGTTAGATTTCCTCAAACAAAGCATAATGGGGAAAACGCTGACAGAAACAAGTATGTCATAAATATGTGTAAGTTATTTTACTCTATTTTCCTGTGGCGTAGCGTGTAGTAAATATGTTTCCATAATACAACTAACTGCTTATGTAGCACTTCAATATTTTATGCATGTTTTGATAAACTTTATGTACAATAAAAATTGAAAAGAAAATTCTAAAATTTCTGCCAAAATAAATAAAAACGGTCATTTATCTACCTGTCAAAACCCCCATTGTTTTAATGTATAATAAAAGTGAATTGTTTGTCTAAGATCTGATTTAGTTTACAATAAAAATTGCGATCGTAGTCTATGGCAGTAGATGTCACATTAAATCAAATAACATGCTTAGGTAAGATGGGAATTTAATATCGTTTTTTAAATAAATTCTAAAGATAAAAGACAATAGAATAGGTACTTTCAAAATTAATATTAAAGTTCAAAATGTAATGTATAAGTAGATATGTCAAATAAAAAAATATTTTGTTTAGAATAATTGAACCCTAAAAATATAAAGTTATTAATAAAAAATATAATTATGTAAAACAAAATTTAAACTAAGTAATTATAACAGTCAATCTCATAGAGTAAAGAATCACTTATCACTCATTTCACCAATTCAAAAAAAATATATATCACTCAAAACACAATTAAATTGTAAGCGGACAAACTCACAAGAAAAGTGGCTGACCATTCGACGAAGCATTAATAAAAAAACAAATGAAAAGACGTCACCATTAGTCAAACCACCAATTTGGGTACAAACAACTTTCTATTGGCCTAAATATTAAAAGGCTCGAAGCTCAAACCATTCATTACAGAAAAACAATAAAATGGTTACTTTTGATGACAAATATGGACCATATATTATATAATGTTTAAACGACCATGATGACATACTAGGTATAAGATATAATATTCTATACAATTTTGTGTTATGGTTTTTATAAGCTACGTGTTGTATCCAACTAGGTAATAGCCATTCAACAAACGACCTTATATAATATGATAATATGTATTATATTTCCATATAAAAAGTGCACATTACAGACAAAACACTATGCACCAATATAGGTTTACAAAAAATGCTGAACATTGGTACTCAAGACACGACCTCAATGACTAGCCCTTAGATTAAATAGATGAATTTAATTTGTCACTGAGTCTTTAATTAAAAATTAAGATTCCTTACACTACGATTTTCTCCTGTGTCGCGGATCCCTTCACGAACATACAATTTTACCTACACCTGAAACCGAGACACGGAAAAACAATTTGTGGATCACACAAAGAGTTGCCTAGCAACCTCACCAAACGTGCAGGATGTTAATTAATTAAAGTATAAAAAGATTGTCATGAAAATCAAGTTGGTACCAGAATAGGTTAGGTTATATAAGAATTGCGACTCGCACAGATATTGAATCGTCATTACGAATAAATAGCTACAAAAGCTGTACTACGAGATCAACTAATAAGAGGTCTCCTTCGTTAATTGAATGACTAATTAAACTAGTTGGCTGCAACATATTCTAAAATAGCCTTACATCAGCGTCATCACTCAGAAATAATAAAGAAGAAATTTTCTCTTGGTCCTAAAGTATAAAGAATATAAGAATTAATAGTAAAAGTGGATATTGAAATGAAGCAAGTAATTTCGAACCCTGTTTATAGCGAACAAATAAATGGTTCTTTCTTCCGTATAAATAGGAAATATTGATAAGATAAAAGATACACTATTTGTTGATGAAAAGACAATTGCTAACAATACCTTCGTATCAAATGTTATGTTTCCACACAATGAAATAAAAATAAACCAAATAGACTGAACACACTATTCTTATATGCATCTATGACGTCAAGAAGAATTTAATAAGATCAGAATATATTTGTGTTGGCACCTTTTACTATGAGGCGCCTAAAACGGTCCATTAAAAACAAAGCCGATAAATAAACCAGTCAACAAAAACTTTAAATAAGAAATGAAAATTAATATTAATAAAATATAACGTGTCATTTAGTTCTGCGCATAAAATTTTAATGAAGAATTTGAATGATCAGCAGGAAATTACCTATCATAAACGTCCAAGTGATTTAATATTATTCGCAGGGCATAATGGTGTATTATGTAGGTTGGTTACGTAAAGCATACATATTAGAGGTAGCGATGCATCATAATTAGATGATCAATGTATTCTTTTCTTGTAGATAGAATGTTCTGTTGCAACATCATCCGTAGTTTTATTATAAGCTTTGTAGAGATCATTATAGTAGATTTTGTTCTTTTCAGCCCAATCCTGGCGATAGCTGAGCACCACAAGATCACCCGCCCCGACGGCTCCACGTACGCTCAATGCCTCACTCAAGCTGTCACCTTCTGGCAAATCACATTCTTCATCGCCATCATAATCCTCCTCTACGTTCTACCTCTAATAATCCTCATAGTATTATACAGCGTTATAGCCAAAAATTTAATTACAGCAGCTTCTAAAGTTGTTATGAATAAAACTGTTGATCCATACAACACAAGAGCAAGGAAGCAAGTTATATTAATGCTCGGTACCGTTGTCTTGTGTTTCTTTTTATGTCTCATGCCGTATAGAGCTCTCACCCTATGGATAATTGTAACTCCAGCTGAGTTCTACGATGACGTCAGCCCTGAGAAGTGGTACAACATACTTTACTTCGCTAGGGTCATGTTGTACATAAATTCTGCAATCAATCCGATTCTCTACAACTTGATGTCTTCTAAATTCCGCATTGGATTCTGTAAGGTCTGCTTATGTTATAAAAGAAAGTTAGAGGATAAGACAAGACGAGCTCAGAGGACGATCACGAACGGGTCCACGACCAGCAGTAGTCTTACACGTACTACGAACAGTTTGAAGAAACTATTTAGCCAAAGAAGTAGTATTGATCGAACTGACACCGAATCAGAAAGCAAAGAAGAAGTAGAAAAGGGAGTATTCGATAGAATATTTACTAACAAAACGTTTGTGAGACAGCAATCAGCACCGGTTTGTTCTAACACAAAGCCGGTGATAAACAGAATGAGGAGTGAAGGAAACATTGAGATATCAGAAGTTATTGACATTGAACATAAAATCGATCGGGAAGATTGTGGGGGATGTGATGCTGGCAAGTTTATCGGTCATTCCAATAGTAAAAATATTAGGTCAGACATTGATACAGATTCGGGTCGAAGCCAGTCTTTGAGACGCAGTGTTTTAATAAAAAGTGCCAAAGCTAGGAGCATGGATTGTGAAAAGAAATCTGTGTCGTATCAGAAGATAACAGTTGACTGTGTAGTTGCGTTTCAGAAGTCTAAGAGTGTTGATTATGAGTTCCCAGAAAGTTTTGTATAGTTTGAAAGCCTGAAAGTCTTCTGTTTTAAACTTATGTTCCAGATAAATTTAAAGCAGAAGATAATCTATATTGTAATTTTTCATTGGAAGGATGTTTGGAATAAAATAAACCTAATTCTGTGAGTATATGAACTATGTATGTCCCACATAAATTTATCGGGTGCTTATATAAAAATGGAGAAAGTGAACCTTAATATTTTTGTTTATCACACGGGTAGTGAAATTGTATCCTTTGTAATTTATTGTTTTCAGGCGTTTAAGCAAAAGTATTAAAGCTATTAAAATAAAAAAAACTTTAAGAATACAATGTGTAAAAAGGTTTGATACATATAACATAATGTCATATTACATTTTTACTCGAGGTAATATTTTTCTCAAGAAGAATAAATCGCTATCCATCCCGACATGGCTGAAGACAATACGAGATTGTTCAGTCGTGAATTTCCTTATTAAATTTTCAAGCTTATCTCTTTGTTATAAAATTGAAAATCGATTAATGAAATTGTGGGCTACATTTTCAACCCCGAAATGGTCACGGATAATGGATAAGATTCCATAATTGAATGGTTTTCTTTACACCATAATTTCAACCCTAAATTTTATAATCGAAATAAAATGCAAATATTGTAAAGTAAAATTCACACATAAAATCTAATAAAAAAATTGGAGACTCTCAGGTGTACGTAAAAGTTATTGGGACTTTATTAATATTAAGCATAAGGCTTATTTTAGTTACAAATAAATAATGGCACTCAAGACCGTTTGCGCATGTTCAAATTATGTAAGTAGCAAATTTGTATATTAGCTTTTTTTATTAAAAATAACAACTTACGTAAGTAAGTAATTGTGAAAAGCTCTACTAGGTACTACTTATAATGCTCATGAAAAACAAATGACAAACCGTGAAGGAAAGCATCGTGAGGAATCAATAGAAGTTTGAATCGGTAATCTGCCTTGAGCAAGCGTCAACAATCCGTGTGAAAAGAGGTCTTTTCTCAGCAGTGGGGATTAACAGCCCTAATGATGATGCTTACAAATAAGAGTCCCGGTGTGACTTGAACCAAGAAGATCTTTTTTACAGTTCATTCACGTGAGAAAGTCGTTTTTAAACGGTTTTATTTAGCTCGACCCATAAGTTATTTTTTTTTTTTTTGGGTCAGAATTAGAAATTGAAATTAAAGTATACCTTCCTGTTGTCGGATTGGCCTGAAATTTGGTACAGACCTTAATTTTAAATTTAATCACGTCTCACGATAGTTGGTTAGGTATTACACAAAAATAGCTTATTTTTTATTTATTACTTCTTATACTATTATTATTGAAAATCGAAAAAATACTTTGAATCTACTATTCATATTAAGTAGTTAATATTACTTTAAAATTAATAAAAATAGTCGACTGAAAATTTTCTTATAATATTCATAAAGTTTAGTGGCCACAAAATCCATGTTGACTGGCATTCGATCCCACAACAACCAAGAAAACTTACTAAGTTTTTCACAAACATATATTTTCAAAGCATTTTTCCGATTTCTAACCAAATCATTTTGCAGTATTACTCAACTCTTAAGAATCTTTAAAAGACGCGGGGCGTTGCGCGTCCCATCTTGCGTTCGTCATACATTGCTGCAGCAGACTGCATCATTTGCCCACGCAAACACAAACATATGAACATTAAGAGCAATGTATGGCGAACTCAACGTGTCGTATCTCCATGAATGAGGGCAAAATCTATCTTAACTTAGTTCTTTAGTTAGTAGTTATTCATGTAGATCTGCATTTAGTAAACTTAGTCCTTAGAAAGTACATATGTCTGCCAGTAGATAATTAAGCTTTGTAAATTATGTATAATTAGTTATGCGTGTTGCTATGTCTATTTAGAGGCACCATGTATGTATAAAAGGTGAGTAAGAAACCATTTTGTTTGACGAAGATTATATAGGGAGCTGTCAAATATATTTCAAGTACAATCAATAAAATGTATGCTTACCTGCAATTAATAAAAATAAATACAAGCAAAATAGAATACTTTTTATTTAAACTGCTCTTGGGATTTAGCAAAAGGGTAAATATTGGAGAAGAGGGAAGGAATGGGCCTTCGTCAACTTGACTTATACAACGCTGTGGTTGTTTCAAGACGATTGTCTGTGAAGCTGTGGTATCACTCCGGTCGAGCCGACACATCCGTGCCGAAGCATGACACACTTGTGTCTCCCACACTTACACCCGATTTCCGAAAGGTCGATCAAAGTTAAAATCAATTTAGTCTCTTGTCAAGTCATCTGATTGGTTGACTGAATTATCAACAACCAATCAGATGACTTGACAAGAGATTTAACAGGAGATTAGTTAATTTTAGCGTTGACAAGCCTTTCATAAGCCGGGTGTTAATATTCAATTCGACTTTCTGTCAAGTATTCAATAAGTATTGTAAAATTTGTAATTGTGTATTGAAAACTTGCTTTATTTAGGGTAAGACCAATCTGTAAAAAAATTATATGTATTGTATTACTTGTTCCCTATTCCCGGTGTTATTTTAAGCCTATTTATGTTTAATATTATGTAGATTAAATAAATAAATAAAATTAAGATTTACCTAAATTAAAATATTAAGTGCCAAAGATTTCAACTGTTTTTTATTTCACCTTTTTTATCGAGAGATATGAATACCTATTGATGTTGATGTCGCGGTGGCCCGGAGGATAAGGAGCCCATTTCTCATGCATGGGGATGTGGGTTCGAAACCTGGCAAGTAAGAATGCTTTTTCTGAGTTATAATTTGTATTTTCTATGATTATTAAGACACCACTGACATACGGTGAAGGTGTACTTGCCAAGTTTCGAATACGCATTCTCATGGCTGAGAAGTGGGTGCCTTAACCTCCAGGCCTTTGGAACAGGAAAAATATCATGGAATCTATAATTTAATAATAGGTAGAAGGCGTCACATGGACTGCTAACAATAAATTACTTCCCATCTTAATGTCCAGCTGTAAAATATGTAATTTGTAACAACTGTTACTCAAGGACTCTATAAAAGATTTCATTGTTATTCATAAAAATTAAAATGATGTAGAATTATTCAAGCGTTGACTGGCGCCTTATACGGTAGAAAACGCGACAGGAGTTTTCTTTGGGTTCAATTGGTGAAACAGGTAAAGTATGAATTGGCGAGCTTGTAAAACAAATCCCACCAAAAACTAGCCAGGTCCCGATGGAGCTGCTAGTTTATATCTTTTTTTTTTTAAAAAAACCGTGCCCCACACTAGGATTTTCTCCTGTGTCGTGGGTGCGTTTACAAACATACAATTCCACATACGAACAAACGACGATTCGAATCTACACTTTAGAATCAGCACCTAACTTAATTGACGAACACACTGACAGATGTTATTCTATTTTGGTGTTTCACAAGTACCTGTTTATTGTTAATTTGGAATAAATGATTTAATTTTGACTTCTAGGGATGACAAGGTCAGAAAATATAATAAATGTGAAAGTTTGCGAGATTGTTTGTTTGTTAGTCTTTAACGCAAAAACAGCTGGACCAATTAGGTTCAAATTTGGTATGTATTTTGTATATAGGTGATGTTCTGGATTAACCATGGGCTTTTTATCAATAAACGAGCAGGCGAAACTGAGAAAGCTAGTTTGAAATGAAAAATATGTGTCTTATAATTCAAATTACATAGAAGGAACGGGTCGCATTTACTCAGTAAAAACTGAACTCTCCATTTTGACAAACTCAGACAGATTTGAATTAGGAAGATTTTCTCCCCCAAAAAAGCAAATACTATTAGACCTCGTTGGAGATTTCTAATGAGTTTTCAAGTACAAACTTCTGTGTAGGCGTTATTAAGCATTGTAACATTATCCTTGTCCTATATCACTAAGAGAATAAATCCACGCACAAAAGCTACCTAACATATAGTACAAATCTGCCTAATCGAGGCAAGCAACCGTGATTTTATGCATGCATTCCTCAAACAATGCACACACAACCAGCTAAGCTGACGACGTATAGCTTAGGGATGTTATCAAGCTCCGTAACCTTAACCTGTATGTACTTGACAAACTCATAATTGACGCGGGTTGGTGTCGGGCGCGACTACCGTGCCTCGGTTGATGAAAAGCGAGCACTTACCTTCATAATTAATTAAATAAGAATGTCGATGTATCAGTGTGCAGAAAAACCTAAATTATTTTATGTATACATTGTATGTATAAAGGCAATGTAATGTGGTAGTTGTTAATGTAAATAAATAAAAAACCGAAACTATCAAATCCGATATAAAATTTCGTCTGTGAAGGTTTCTTCAAGTAAAGTGAACATTTAGAGGGTTCCATCTTCTATCTTGTTACTTGTTACCACCTTCTATATCTTCTATTCTCCACTTTCTCCACCTTCTATCTTATCTCCTTCTTCTATCTTGAACCTTTTTTGGTGTTACGTAAACTAACACTATTGCAGAACGGGGCGGTTTTTAGTCAGTAAGAGTCTGACACTGACAGTCCCTCTCTTTGAGTTAGGATTCAGGACAATAGAAGAAATAAGAGGACAGCCCTCACCCCCTCTCAAAAAAAAAAACTCTTGACGGTGTGAATATAATAATAATATCTCTGGGACACACCGGACTTGGTCATTTCAGTGTTTTTCTAGTTTTTCTCCTCTATTATTCTGGCTTGAAAGTGTAGCAGCGATCACGTATGAATGGCCAGTCAACACAAAATTAGCAAAAACCGTATCTGGATTCGCAATGTCCCAACCGTTGCATCCCTAGTGAAGCTCATCTCAACGATACCGCAGACAATGGCCGCTATCAGTAGCGTGTTAAGTTATTGCGAAGTTTAAGTTATGGCATATTGTGAGCTAACAATGGGACTTAGGGTTGCATCTACATTGTTTCGAAAATCTGCAATTTTGTCGCTAACCTCATAGAATTATTTGTCAATTATATGGTGATGGTAAATGATCCATATTTCTGTACAACTGGCCCTATTCACATAATAGTCGGACTAATATTAACATATGTTTTTTTAAATAACGACTGCACTTGTTGCTGCAGTCTCTAGGCAACTGGCTGTTACTGGCAAAGTGGGTTTGATTCGCGCATATTTGTGTGATCTTCAAATTGTTTGTTTCTAT